GTGATGTCGTGGCCCAAGGTCCCTGTCATTGACACATGTGAACATGTCTGAACTGCAGTCACCCCATAAAACCATCTAGCAGTTCTAATTGTTACCCACAAAGCAGATGGAACATTAAAATAAGAGGTGCTTTCCTGGTATCTTAGCCATCTCTTCTGAGCAACTGAAGGATTATGGTTCTCCATTCAGCCTTCTTTGCACCAAAAAGCAACACAAAATAAAATCAAATCAAAGAATATTGCATTAAAATCTTTGGAATTAATTGGAATAGTAGACTAGATTACCTGACATGCTCAGCCTCTGTATTCATCTGTGTCCAGTCAGGAGGTAGAAACTAGTTATTTAAACAGGAGGAGTTTAATATAAAGAATTATTAACCTATGATAAGAGTAACTATAGGATATAAGAAAACTCCATATTTTATCCTAAGGCTGAGGGAGAGTGTCCAAGAAAGGACTAATTTGGAAAGGGGCCCCGATATCCAGGGCCAGGGTTCAGATCTTGTTGATGACATAGTTGTGGCCTACTGAATGGCAGAGAAGTTTGTTGGCTGGCCTGAGCCCGACATGGTCCCCGGTCCCTGGGCAAGCAGAAAGTAACCACCCAGGGTACAGTGGAACAGTCAGGATGCAGATGAGCCTCAGCAAGTGCGTGGATGCAAGAGCATGCAGAGAGAGCGAGGTCCTCAGTAGGGACCCTCCAGGGCACCAGTAGAGCTACAGCCAATGGCCAGGTACATAGTCATGCAGAGACATTAAGGGGGCTATGGCAGGAGGCCTGCAGTGTGCAGATTCCTGTCAAGAAGGCTGGGCATTAGAAGGGCAATGGAATACAAATCAGGGTCCAGGTGCAGACCAGAGCACTGGAAATCGTGGTGTCCAGGTTGAGATGGCATCAGGAACATTGTCACCAGACCAGGTTGGAGCTGTGAGGTCATTAGGGACCACATATTCTGGTTTTGTAGCTGGGGTAGCACACCCCTAGACAGACGTGATCACAGCTCACGTTACTAACCCACCCCCACAACTGGCAACAGCCAGAGAGCCCCTTCCCTTTGCAGTGTGCCTCCCACACCATCTACTGAAAAGCTCAACAGTGGCTCCCTGTAAGGAAAGAATGGCTGAAAGAATTCTGACCATTACTGCAGAACATGTGCTGAAGGCTAAGTTTGGAGCTGAGAGGCAATATGTTGGTAACTGGCACAGCCCATCCCTTTGGTTACTATCTTTCCTATGCACCCATCTACATACATTTGAACTGTTAGAGCAGCAAAATATCTCCTCTTTCCATCTACTAGATAGATATACCTATCCTTGTATATGTTTTCACTGTTCACCCAAATTAAATGATTCAGAGTCCTAAGTCATTGGTATCCATCATGGGCTTTATTAATTACTCCTCAACTTTAGGCAGGCACCCATTGAATATTCTGTTGCCTCAAGACTAAATTGTAAAGTTAATCTCCAATAACTTGTACATAAAATAAAATAAAATAAAGGAAGCAGGATAGAGAAAAAGAGAACAGTGAATATAGACTAACAGATGTATACATAAAATACAGAAAATCTGCAAAGCTGCTATAGCCCTTATTTCTGTAATTGGTCTCAAGCTGTTTGTTCTTCAATGACCAATTACAGTTTCCCACATCCTGGGCCAAAACCTTACGTGCTTTGGTTTCTTTACCTGGTGGAGTGACCAGAACCATTTCCAGGTGTCTAAGTTTTAGTCTTAACTTAGTCCTAATCAGTCTGCTTTTTTGTTGTTGTTGGGACAAAATAGTTTTCCATTGACTTTACTATTAGTAGGCAAAGTAAGGGCCCCACAGAGATGTTCATATCCTAACTCCTGGAACCTGTAAATCTATTATTACAAAGCAAATGGGAATTAAGGTTGCTAATCAGCTGATCTGAAAGTAGGGAGACTGTCCTGGATTATCTGATTAGGCCAGTCCCCCCATGATTCTTAAAAGTGGAAGAGGAAAGCAGAAGAGGGAGAACGGGAGAACCAGAGATGGCAGTGTGAGGACTCAACCTGACACAGCTGGCTGAGGAGGTGAAGGAAGGAAGCCATGAGCCAAAGAATGTGGGGAAGCCCCTAGAAGCTGGGAAAGGCAAGGAAACAGATGGTCCCTCCAGAGCACCCACAAGGACTGTAGACCTGCCAACATCTTGATTTTAGCCCTAGGATACCCATCTTGGACTCCTGACTTCCAGAAATGTAAGATATTGAGGTTGTGTTTTAAGCCATTAGATTTGTGGTAATTTGTTTCAGATGCAATGGAAAAATAGTACATTGTCAAAGTTTTTATATCCATGGATTATTTAGAAATCTGACCTGGGGGCACCTGGGTGGCTCAGTCAGTTAATATCTGACTTTGGCTCAGGTCATGATCCCAGGGTCCTGGGATCAAGCCCCAGGTCAGGCTCCCTGCTCAGTGGACAATCTGCTTCTCCCTCTCCCTCTGCTGCTCCCCATGCTAGTGCTCTCTCTCTCTCTCAAATAAATAAATAAAATCTGTTAAAAAATAATAAAAAAAGAAACCTGATCTGGGGGTGCTTGGGTGGCTCAGTCAGTTGTGCACCCAACTCTTGATTTCTGCTCATGTCATGATCTCAGGGTCACGGGATCAAACCCCACACCCAGTGTGGAGCCCGCTTAAGATTTTCTGTCTCCCTCTCCCTCCGCCCCTCCCTCCCCCAAGTAAACAAACAAACAGACGAATCAAATCTTAAAAAATAAACCTGATCTGTAAATTAGAGAATAAAAATGCACTGATAAGTAACAGCCACCAAATCACTTAGAAATTATTTTAATCTTTTATTTAAATAACACTGTAGCAAGACAAATAGTAGCATACAGCTGCTCATTGTGCACCCCAAATTTCTTCTCAGAGGGCAATGATGGGTTCCACCCAAACCATCTGTCCAGGAAGACAGAGCTTCTCTGTCACAGATACCCCAACCATCTTCCTGACCTTCGGACTTACCCTGCACTTTGGAGGTACTACATGCTGAAGAGCAGCAAAGGCAGGATGGGTCACGCTCTGTGCCCACACCAAACATTCTAAATCTCAGAACTGCTGGCATCTTCCTTCTCCTTTCAAAGCAAAATAACTTTTCACTTCCTTTTACCGAAATTCCTGCTTTGATGCCTATGTGACTGAGCTCAGACTGAGCTCTTCTAGAGAAGTCAAAAGCGTGAAACTGCGAACCTGAACTACCACTCCTCTCCTCGTAAGTTGTAACTCCAGCCTCAGCCTTCAGCCACTGCAGCTGCTGAAGAACTACACAAGTCGAACAAGTTTCTCATCATTGTGTCTGCAGCACTTTCTTCCACAAGACTCATTAATTCAATGTAGAAAGTGCCCCTTCCCACATCTACCTCAATAATCCCCAGGTCTCATTCAGACCTCCTTCTCAATACACTGTGTTGGGAACAGTAGAATTCCCTGACTTCTGAATCCGGTTTCCCCCTTCCAGGGCATTTTCTAACTTTGCCATGCCACTAAGTTCCAGTTCACCTCTTTAAGGGTCTCTGGCATTAAGAGCATCAACAAGCTGGTGGATTAATTACAGCCAGACCAAGACAATACAATGTAAAGGGGGACACACACACTGGTAACAATGGAACCAAGAATTCAGTCCCTCCATGGGATGTGAGAAAGACTCTTAGTATGAGTATAAGTAATCTATAAGTAATTTGTTCCAATCAAAGGGACAAGGTGTTATAGCTTCCCTGCCTCAGAGGTGAAAAAATGTTAGGGAACAGAGATAACACCTATGTACTATCAGAAATCCAAATTCCTAAATCACATGAAGTTCCAACAGAAGATGACCACCTTCTTGGGATCCATGAAGTTCTACCAAGAAGCAGATAGATCATCTCCAGGCACAAATTTTATGACATTGTATTAAATAGGCACAAGTTGTATGATGTTATCACATGGGTACAAGTTTTATGATATTGTACAAAATCAGTAACAAGACTTCCAAAGCCTATAGGTCCACTTTAAAGTATACATTGTTTGTTTATTCCTTGAAGGAATAAGGCCAACATTGCTAAAAGATACAGAGAAATAAAAGAAATCTAGAATTAGTCTTGTAATGTTGAATGCAGAGGATTATTCAAGGCCTCAGATAAAGTTCTGATAAATCAATATTCCTTTGAGGCAAAGCAAGTGCCTCTCTGAGACCAAAACGACACCAAAAACAGATTGCTAGCAAACAGGAATAATGGGTCAAGTTCTTAAGAGCAAATAAGTTCTCCATTCTTAAGGTTTATAGCTTAAGATTGTATAGCCCTTTTGGCATTGAGTAAAAGGAGGAGTTTAACAAACAATTTGGAGATTTATTTTTTGGTCAGGCCTCCAGAAACTAAATTTTTTTCATCAAGTCACTGAGTATGATCAGAAGAGTGATTTCTGTGTGTGCGTGTTGTTTTTGTAAGTTTCTGAAGGAAAGGCATACATGAATGTAAGAGACAAAAAACATAATCAAACCCCTTTAGAAATATACGTAATTCAAATATACAACAGGAAAATCCACCAAAATGTTCTAACATGCCAGTAGTTCTCTAAATATCTCAAGCATCAGACAAAACCTCCATCAAATCTCTGCTTCCTACCACCAACCTGCCCTAACCAGAGTTTCTGAATTACTAGGTAGGGATGTGGTGGGACCCAAGAATCTACATTTCTAAGAGGTTTCTCCATGCTCCTGCTGCTGCTGGTTCAAAGACTGACTTAAAATCCACTGCACTCAAATATGGAAGCCACAATTCTAGCCTAGTAGAAAAGAATGTTTTTCAGTTGGAACGGTGGGATTGAAGTGTCTGTATTAGGGTTAGGAATGGAGGTTTCTCCCTAAGTGTTTCTGCTTGAACTCTGGTCCTGGATGCCAACTGCCTCATCTTTGGCTAGAGTTCATAGTTTTTCTTCTGTGGAGAAAGTGGTGGCCAATGAGGCAGTCAAGCAGATGTGAGCAACCAGGAGTCCATTCCACTTATTTCTCCTGAGGGGTCTCCCTTGTCTCTGCACTACAAGACTGGGAGTTCTTTTCCCTTTTCAACAGCTCTTCAAAGATCTCATTGTGCATGTAAAAGAAGATGTACCCGGTGCAAAGCCTAGCCTCCTGCATCAGAGATTCTTGGATACTTGATACCTGGAGATCATTGTAAGTGAACCATACTTGCCTCTCAAAGTCATAGGCATCGCTGATATAATGGCCTGAATTTGGGGACTTCCCAAGATGGCTGACAACACCAATGAGCCGATAGGCATAGAGATCTCCCATCTCGGCACTTCCTTTTGGTGTCTTGGCTTCCGTTTCTGTCTTCGTATCCAAGGCTTGTTTCTTTCCAGGGCTTTTATTAGAACTCGATTTACCTAGGGAATTCACATTGGCCCCCTGGAGACTTAAGTTTGTGTGTCGCCTGAGGTTCTGTGTGTACCACTGGACATGTGGCTTCAAAAGGGCTTGAAGCAGTGCCTGCTGAAGGGCTTGTTCATAGAGCCTCACCCTTTCTTGCTGCTTGGTCTGTTCAGCCACTTTTTGGGATTCCTTTGAAATTCTGTTTTTTTTACCATCATAAAAATCTTCAACGGTGTCAGCAACACTCTCAAAATCTACCAATGTATTAGTTTTATTGTATTTCTTTCGCTTTCGATTTTCAGACGCTTCTTGAAGATGAACGCCTGCAAGGTGTGTTTCTGGACCACTGCGGGGTTTACTTTCATCGTCACAGATCAGATAAGAGGACACTTGTTCCAGATCCATCATTAAGCCAGAGGCTAATACCTCTTTTTCAATGACTATTCCATCTCCTAAGTTCACCAATTTGGAATCTGTCCCATTCAGTCTGGAACATTTTCCCAGGTCTTTTTTCTGCTGTTCTCTGTGTGACCCTTCATAGAGAATCTGGGATTTTTGTGGTTTAGACTCTTTGTCTGGCCCAACATGTGGAACCGGGTGAACCCTGGATGCTGAGGTCAACTTTTGGGAAAGTGCTGATGTTTGGAGTCTTTCAGCACTCAACTTCTGAAAGACTTTTAGGACTTGGATGTCCCTATTATCTACGTTCTTGCTCACAGGAAGAGGTGGTTTGGTACTTTCATTGCAGTGAGATGATAACTTTAAATACTTAGAAATAACAACTTCCTGGTCATCCTTCCTCAGCGACCAAAACTCGTTATAGATATAACGTTTCAGATGAACAATGAGAACCCTGGGGAGCCTACTGAACTTGTGCACTGCGACAGAACTCCTGTGCTGACATTTCTCACATTTATACTCAAGTTCTTCTGCTCCGAAGAAGAGATCAAAAGCAGACTGAATAGACAAAGGGAGCGCTTTCATTCCCTGGGGAAGGTTGATGGAGAGATAATTACTCACTTCTGTCTTGAGAACAACCTGACCACAAGCCTGACAAATAATAGAGCGCAGCAACTCAAACTCAAAATTAGTGATGACGGGACAAATGAGCACTCTGGTGGCAGCATTGTCAGCAAAGACCTGTTGAGCGGCGTTGTCCTCCTTGGATTCAATTTTCATCTTCCGAATTGTGTTTAATTTCCCCATGTTCTCTTTCATCTGATCCAAACAGTGGCCTAAAAACTCATGGGCATCATTTTGTATGTTGCCAGAGAAGATCTCTGCAACTGTTGAAATGGCTTTTTTAATATTCACAAGTAACCTCTCCTTGATTTTTATGTTATAAATATTTTTCAAAACAAACAGCTGTGCTAAGCACATGCTAAGAGCCCCAAGGGGAATTTTACCCCATGGGAAATCCTGACTGAGTAAATCATCAGCAAATGATGGAATCGAAAATAAGGACTGTAAAACTGCATTCATGTAACAGGTGTTTCCCAAGTTGGGGAGGCCTTGCCATAATTTCTCTGGGTAGAAATCAAAAGTCATCTTGAGTTTGTCCCACTCTGGGTCATCTGCACTATACTTTGGTGCCAACAGAAATGCCAAATATAGTTTCTCAGTCAGCATCTGAAGAAGACCTGTGCCATCCAAGTGAGGCTTTCCAGGAGACGTGGTCTTTATTAAGGCCTCAAACTCTAATTTCTTTTTCTTTTTTAACACTCTTAATCTCAATTTTTTCTTCTCATCATGGCTCACATGACTCAAGGGATTTGTCTGGGATTTCATCTTTCCTACAGAATTACTCTTTTTGGGGGTTTCCCCAGTCATCTCTGAACCAGATGATACCATCCTTTTCCTCTTCCCGTATCCATTCTCTAATAAATCTTTGCAATGAAGTTTTGATGACTTTGATGCAGATAAAGCCCTCTTCTGATGGTCAGGTGTTCGAGTTCCTTCTCCTATCTGAAAAGATCTACTACTTGGCTTCTTGCCTGCTTTGTGGAATGAGTTTTTGTTGATTTCCTTTGGTGTTGTCTTGCTGGCAAAGATATTTCCATCCTTTGCAGGTCTCACAGATGACTGAGTATTATTTTGATGGACTCTATCCAGGAACATCTTCAACTGTACAGCATCTCTGAAATATAATCTTTCCATAAACAAGAAGCTACTGTTTTGGAAAATTAAACGCAGGTGATTTTGCTTTTCTCCATATGATCTAAAGACCACATTTTTAATATTATTTAGTTGAAAAGTTACAGATTCTCCGGTGGTGAAACACACCACCAATTTGATCCTCTTCTTTCTTTCTACTGTTTCAATGTATGCTTCTTGGGACCTAGACATCCCCATCTTCCTGCTCCATATTTGGACAAAACCATGTACCCTTAGAGTGGCCATATTTTCTTCAGAAATAAGTTACACGTATCCTGAATTATTGACAATCTCAAAGTTCTGATTTGTTTTGCAAGCTCACTTTTGGAGACAGCACCAAGAAATGATTCTTCAGTTCTCTATAAGAATGGTTCTACTTCTCGTATTGGTTTTATGCTAGTTTCTTCAGGTTCTGGATGTCTAACTATTTAGTGATAAAACCAATACTCTTCAAGAGCTGTACATGATGACACGGGGAAAGAATCTTGATTTCTAAGGCAAGGCAGCTACTGGAAAAAAAAATCAAGAAAAATAATTTAAGCTATTAGAAAAATGCTTGGATAGAACTCAAATTTTACTCCTATGCACTAAATCTCCTTTCCACTACAACACTAGATTCCATTCTGATTAATTTCCCCACTTCAACTGAAATCATTAAACACTTGGAAGACTTTCAATACATAGCTGGAGAGCATAATGAACAGTGTCTCAAGCGTAAGCATATACTGTGTTAATTCTCCTATCATAGAATGACCCTGCAGAGCAATCACAGTAAGTGAATAAGAGAGTGGCGGCAGTAGGCAGCCCTCAAACCAGTAACAGGTGAATAGCTCTTAATGTCCAGAAATCTACAGGACTTCATACACAGGCCACTAAATGTAAATCAATCTAACCTCTTTCCAAATCCAGTTATCTTCTTTCCTCTCATGTGGCACAGTGTGAAGTCCACACATTCTACCGCATGTGGGCCCCTTAACCTACCACTAGGTACCAAAGAATTGGCTATCTCCAACTCCAACAAGCCAAGATGACCTGGTATGCGCTAAGCAATCCCCATGCTTGTGATAAGTGTGAGGTAACTGAAAATTTAAAGCCATGTGGAACAAGACCATAAAAAGCAATTTGAAAGTTGGTTAATATGATGACCGAGACTAAGCTCAAGATTGTGTTTACTGTGTTTTACTATTGAACAAGCAAATGCAGATAGTAGAAATAATTTACGAGAAATAGGATATGATGAGTGGAAACTTTCCCATGGGCTCCAGCGTTGGCTTCACTGTTCCCTATGGAGGCATGCCCCAAGTTTCAAGGTTGGTATCATCCATGCAGAGTGAAGAATGCCCCGGGTTGAAAAAGTTACCAAATCAGTCATCTGGTCTTTTGGCCATTATACTAGGGGTAGAACCAAGTCAGCATTAAGGGTATCTTATTAACACACATAAATTTCTTACTAAGTCCCAATTAACATCTTTTTTTACTTTCCATTTCTTACTGCATCATCATATGGCCTAGAGAAAAACTGGTTATGCTCAACATGGATGAATTATGTACTAGATAACACCATCTCCTGGATCTTTAGTCTTGCTTTCCTCAGACCTACAACTATTCTCACATTCACCTGTCTAAAGTAGAATCACCAATAGATTCTTTGGGTCAGCTGGGCTGTGGAGAACTGTCATAAGGCCTTGCAGTATAACTGGACCACCAACCCAGGCAATGGGAAAATCATATGCAACAACCTCTAGTGGACCTTAGCTTTTTCCAGATAATACTATCTGGACATCTTTAGGACATATTGAGCCATCCATGGACAAGTACAAGGCATTTTCATCCAGGGTTAATTATGGGATTGGACAGTCAGTGTGAGATCTGTTTGTCTTCCAGACTACATATAACTAATACTTTAAAGTAACCATTTTTAAAATCAGTCTAACACTGTCCTGATTGGCTAGAATTGCTTCCATATTCTCCTCCAATTGATTATCTCTTGCAGCTGACATGCAATGCCTGACATGCACTTCCCACAAGCTAAATTAGGTCAATTTCTTGAAATAATCTCATCTCTCTACTCCTCAGGTGCCTTATGTACTGAACCACAAGCGATAACATATTTTTCATCAAGTTAGGTCTACCAAATCTACCTGACTTGGGTCATTTTTTTGGCTTGAGAACTTCAGAGCCATCCATTCTGAACTTCAGTCCAAGAACTCCCCAAGCAAGTTTTGAGGGTTTGCAAACACGTCACTCATGAAGGCACCTTAGCACATTTTAATTCATTTCACAAATTGATAAATCTGTAATGCTAATTCTTTACATATTAACACTTCCAAGTACATACTGCCTGCTTTGGAACAAGCCAGGTACTCCAGGCTTGTATCCTGTAGGGTCTCTAACATCATCCCAGCAGAAGGTGTATAAAAGGAAACACACAGCAAATCACTGATGTAGGGAAAAAAGTTCCCATCAGGTTACAAGGAACAGCACTGGAACAGTGCGCTAAGGTCACCACAACCTACATGTGAAAAGTCAAAGTAGAACTGAAAACTTACCACTAAATGCCATCAAATATGACAGGAAAAGATCAGTTTAAAAAAGCCCCACCATGGGTAATTCTGCTTGTCATCCTGTATCAACTACAAATTACAAATGGTCAAAAAATACAGCCAAATGTCCCAGTTTTCCAAAAATGTCTCGAACATCCTATGTGAACACTTACTAAGCTTATAAGATTGTGTTCAAGGCAAGGAGAAACTCTTGAGTGCTAAGTAAAGAAACCATTCCCTAAACCCTAAATGTTCTAAGATGACATTAAAATGGACTTTAGTTATAGTGCTGCTAACAACCAAGACATCATCTGTTGGTAATGAACATTTCTCTCTAAAATCGAATGGACCCTCCCAGTGCCCATCAGCATATGCCCATTGGTATTGAGCACTGTACACATATGTTTTCTTAAAAAGACAAAGTTTAGTGGTCCTCCTGACAAATATTTACTATTAGGCCAAGATGAGACCTTAGGCTTTGAGGTATCAGAGATCAATGTGCTGTTCCCCCACAACGTGACCTGCTTCTTCCATGCTTAGCTCTCCACAGAACACACTAGTGCCTCCAAAGTAGTTATATTAGTTAAAAATAAAAAGAAGAAGAAGTTGTATTGTGATTAGCCCACTGCCACCATGGTCAACTCTAGAGTACTGGGCTCATTGACAAAAGTAAGTCTAAGAATTTCTTGCCCCATCATATGTAGACTAGAGAGGCTCCTATAACCAGCTTTGGTGACAGGGTCCACATAATCTGAGCTAGCTTCCTGTAACTCAAAGCCAGAGAGGAAGGATCAGATGTACTTAGTCACTCAAAATTAAACTTTTCTAATTAACTCTATAGGGGACCAATCTGAATTAATGAATAGGTAAGCACTTAGCACTACAAATATCTGTTATCAAGAAGGCATGTGCCAAAATTCATGGGAAGCTGTATTTTCTCCCACATAGTTAAATACTCTTCCTAAATCTCGTCTGTGTTATTAACTTGCTCAGCAAACCCTGTCTTTATGGATAATGCTAAAGGAAACTTCTGCTTGGTCTGGTCCCTGCCCAGATTATCAAACTCTCAAAATTGGTGGAGCATAAGTTAGGGAGATTTTTGTTTTATCAAGTATTAATCTACCAAGTTCTGTTCAGTGAAGTAGGGATTGCACTCATCCATACACAGAAGTGCATATGCATCCAAGTGAGAGAATGATCGTATTTATCATGGTGGAAATGGGGCCATAAAAACATTCAAGCACAACAGCAGATTCAAGTTGTCTGGATTATTTATAGTTCACTGTCCTACTGTAGATGCTACGTAAGAGTTGAAACTATTTCCTCTACACACACACACACACACACACACACACACACACACGACAAAGTCTTCATTGTTCTTAAGTCGCCCACTTGAAAGAACCTACAACCCCAGGAGGACTTCCAAGCTAGATTCAAAAATTTTGCGGTCCCAGCTCTGATCTGTATTTATCAAAAAACTGTTGTCTGTTCTAATGATAGCTGAAACAATCTTAGACCCTCATGGCTTTTCCACTATCTGTCTTCAAGAGGGCGGTTAAGAGACCTATGTTTCCAAAAATGATGTCTCCTTTCATCGCACTTTCCTCACAGTTCAACGTGCATATATTTGATCCCAGAACAAAGGTGACGTCTTTGCGCCAACTGAGCAGGGGAAGTGCAGAATAGGCGCCATCTTGCTGGCGGACAGCCAAGGGGTCTAACCACTGCTCACTTTCCTAGTTATCCCATCTTGAGTTGAAATCCTCTTTTTGATTCTGCCCCGTCACTCAAAGGCTTTTAGGGCCTCCTTGATTGCTTGTTCTTAGAAAATTTTAAACTCAAACGTATCTGTTTTCTAAGACTCCACTCAAGAGCGCTATGTGACTATTCTGTGCAGACTAAACTAGGCTCTGGCAGTAGTGGTATTCCAACTCCATTCCAAAGCTGTGAAAGCCAAAGTGTTTTTCTCTCGTTTTACCCACAAACCCAGCCCATTCAATCTGACTGGTCACCTCCTAGCACAGCACACTAGGCTAGCTTCTGATCTCAGGGTAGAGGCAAAAATTCAGAGAGCTGCACTATTCTTGTCAGATTGGGAGGCATCACCTCTGGTGTCAAGGAGATGGCTCTGTAGTTAAAAACTCCTGGTAGAAATCTCCTTCGCGGTTCCTTTACTAACTCTCTTTACATCGATCTTCTTGGTCATTAAATATTTGCTGAGCGTCTCCTCTGTGCTGTGGATTACGATTTCCCGCGTGTTGGCCCTATGCAGTGTATCGTGACCAGGGCTCTCAAGGACACAAAGGATGTGAGTATTCACTGTACCTAAGCAATGTAGACTGTAAATGTCATCCTACACACATCACAAATGAAAAGGCCTTGCTTCCGGTGGGGACAAAGGATCTGGGAAAATATCTTTTCCCTGTCATTTTCTAGCTCTTGACACGAAGTCAGGGTGGGAGCAGTGTTTTGTAAAGGAGAGGATCTTCTAGACTGAGATTTCCCAAGCCCTCCCGCAAAGAAATTGGCCCCTGGGAAAAATGCCTGCAAGTCCAAGAAGCCAGAAGCCCAGTTAATAATTGTGTATTAAGATAACTTTAGAAGGATTTGAGAGGCTTTTGGAGTATTTACCCTCTGTGTCCTATACTTCTATTTCCCACCATTCATGCTTTCATTATTTCAAGAGCAAAAAATCCCTGA